ATTATATTCACAGTTTACCCAACTCCCCGGAGAGCAAAGAATTGCAGTGTAGCGAGGCTCTTTGTGCCAAAAAGGTTGCCATGACAATAAGATTTCACTCCCACCATCCAGTTAGTTTCATTGTATTCCAGCTCTCCTCTCTGCTTTATAAGATGAAATGTCAAATTAATGATAAATTTACGAGGAAATGTCAGAAAAGACATGACTACACACCTGTAAGGTTATCGCTCCTGTGCTTGTTTACAAAAAGGGACTGCTTATGGGATAGTGTTTGACTTTTTAGTTTAAAAAAATTACAACTCACTAAATACAGGACACCACAAGGGAATGGAAAAAACCAACACGCAACAGCAGAAAACATTATTCCCTGTGCCATTCCACATTATTACAAATAACTTAATTTCTGGGCATTTATGGTTTGATTTCTTTGTATGTATGGATCACTTGGGTTGTTACCGACATCTGGTGAAAATTTCATGTCATTAGCACCTCTAGTAATATATTTACTGAGAAAAATGGTGACGTGTTCAATACTTATTTTACCTGCTGTATATATATATATTATTTTTAAACTATCATTATGATACCCCTTTTTTATTTGGCCCTTTTATTCACTATTTGCTTTGCCTAAAACAAATTATTTAAGCTGCTGATGTCAAAACCAGGCCAAAATAACTTGAAAAACACAAACAAATAAGGGTTAATAATATGTAAAACTTTAATTTTGGTTCGCTGTTTTAACCTAAAGGAAAGAACACACATTCGTTGTTAAAGATGAGTTCCTGGAAGGCGTTGAAAGAGACACACTTTGCTGCATTCCATTCTTAATTCCCTTTGTCTTATTTTCCAGTTATTCTTGTTTTAAAATGCGTAGGCTTTTGGGAGGAAACCCCAAACATAATCTCATAATAAAATGTACTTACAGCAGTACAGAATCCTTATGGGTATTTATGTGTGTAGTAACTRCAGTGAGCAGGGCTGGCCCTATTCAATTCAGTGACCTATAGGCAAATTTTCAAGTGGCACCCTTTGTACAATTTTCTAAATCTCATTTTCAGTTTACACATTCACATATCAAACTAAACAGGTTTGTCTTGGAAAATTATTTACAGGGTACATGGAGTACTTAAAAATTAAAAAGTTATTATATTAAGTGACTTGATACTCCGTGCCCCAATATATTAAAGAAATCTTACGTTAACACCTTTGACCAACATACATTACAACATACAGAGATGTGTAATCAGTGTGTTGCATTGTTAGTCCAGGTTTCTAGTGTGTGTGTGTGTGTGTGTGTGTTGCAGTTATTTGTGGTTCTAGGGGATGACAAGTGTCAGCGGCCTCTGTAATAAAAACAAAACAAAAAATCTTGCCTCCACTGATGTCATTCTATTGTAAAACTGTTAATGCTGTATATTTGTGTGTATTTTGTACAATATTAAAAGGACTATCTAAAGAAGCTATGTATTATGATTTTAATTTTTTAAGAAGTGTTGCACTAAATGCAGCTGCAGACAATCCAATCAAAACACAAGATGGCAGCAGTGGGTTTTGAGTTGAAGGCTTGCAGGAAATTTTCTGTTTTTCATTCATTCATTTCTTTTTTTCTTGTAGTTTATTTAATTCACCCTATAGCCTTATWGTGATTAGAGGCATTCTAAATAAGCAAAGCGATTACTTATTATTGTAACCATAAAACATAAATGTGGAGTTTTTGCTATATAACTGTAATTAACATATGCAATAAATGCATCTAATGAACTCATTTACAATGATAAAACTGTTTAATCAGGACAGGGACCTTGTCAGGATCTCTGTCTTTAAAACTGCATGTCAGAAAAAGAAGGGAGATGTGYAAGCGTCTGTAGGACGTCCTAGTTACTGTGTATGGCAGGCCGTTGTAGCATATACTCAATTCAAGCTGCTAGATCTAATTACCTTTTGATACTGTATCAACAATAGYGTCACTTCTGTTCAAAATTACTTTTCTATGGAAATAAAAAATAATAAAGAACCGTGTTAGTGGCAGAAATAACCAGAAAAATACGAAAATAGTCAGTAGAGCAAGTAAAGACAAAACAGCATTACTGATAAGGTATTTTAAATTTAACCTGTTAAAATTACATTCAGTCCAGTTCTTAATTGATATCCAAATGTATATTTTTAGACATATGAAATTAAATGGTTGCTGGTCATTCCAATCAATTATATATTTAATTACTCAAGAGTACTGGAAAATGAAACTTTTATTAGTTAAAATGTCTCCTTTTAAAATATTTATAATCATTCTAGATCGCTGAAATATTAATTTTGTCTCCAAAGATTTTAATTTTGGATTTCTGCTTGGAARAGTTGATTTGACTGTTATATGATAAAACGGCTTGCCATATTACAACGCTCCAAGCCCTTTCTCGACTCCAACCTCCATTCAAGCTCCCTGCGCTTCCACAGTGCATCCTGTTTCTAGGGTCCTCTCAGAGCCCCCCCAAGTGAGAAGGAAAAAAAAAAGTCTTCCACCCAGTCAGCTGGAGCACAGGGATGCCTGACAAAAACTGGGTGGTCCAGAAAACTCGGTGTTACGGTTCTGACGCTGCTCCCGCTGCTGTCCCCCACCAGACGATATGATGTCTGCTGTAGAGCCCGGGGTGTACCACCCTGCTCAGCTGCTCAGATGGGTCTACATGTCTCTGCAGGACCCTCCGGGCAGCACTTTGGATGGCTACAGACTCGAATCGGACTCGTCAGCTCAGGACGTGAAGGAGCGCTGCAGCACAGCTGATCTGGGYTCCAACTATCTGAACAACTTCTTCCATCTCAACAGTGAGGTACAGCTTCAACTTGCACACAACTGTAATTAAAACTTCGCATGGCTGTTTTGACTGTTTTTCCCCCTCTTGCACATATAAATTTATAAGCAGCTCATTTATATCTTATAATTTTTTTTCTTCTATTTTTTTACAGTAAAAATCACTTGCATGTCTTTCTTGGATTGCAGTGTACTAGATGAATATGTGTTTTGTATCCTGGCAGTGTGCAAACTGTTCTGGTATCAGTGTGCAGCTGGAGGGGGGATGGCAGGTTGAGAAAGTCCTCTCCCAAGCTTTAAAAAATGTTCCAGCTGAGCTCACCCCGACTGGCCTCTGCCTGGTCAGAGGAGCAGTTGTCTGTCATGCCTTCAGAGCAAAGAGACAGTAATCTGCAGGCTGGTCCTCATGTTTGCCCCGCGGTGCCATATAGCACCCATCTCCTCCAGATACACAAAGATGCTGATTATGTCCTGTCAGTGGGACCAGTTGGAGGAATGCATGACAATGGTACTTTGTTTGGACGAGGAAATGGACACCACTGGTTCACTCGCAGTAAACACAGCAGAGACCAAACATCTGCATAAGAGAGAAGTCCCATTGGGTGCACTGTCAGAGACAAACAAGACAATGGACTGACAAGATGTGTGAAATACTCTTTTTGTATCCATAACAATACGATTTGGTGATTTTTAGATCTTTCTCTGCAAAGTTGAAAACAATACTTCACAAACCTACAAGTAGATGGAAAAAGTGGGTCTCTGGAAAGGTTATGAACAAATAATACCTGTTGTGGCATTTTGATTAAATATGTTTAGGATTAACAAGATAATGTGTGAAAATCAAAGTGGATTGCTGTCGTCTCAAACATGACATCACACTTCATGCTGCTATTTTATAAACCTTTACATTGCTGCCAATTTCACATTACAGCTATTCTGGCAGAAATATTGTTGTATTGAGATGACCCATTTGACTTCCATACATTTTTTTGGCACTTATCTTGTTTT